CACACCAACTTTTATTATGTCTTATAACAAAATCTAATAATCTGTTATCACAAAACAGTTATTTTTGTTGTATCACGATAAGAAACAAATCAAAATAAACCTCCAGTTTTACTAGATAACATTTTGTTTTCTGGTTAGAAAGATATTAGTATAATTCCATGGCATCTTGAGAAATCAACGTAAAATATATTTACAGCAAGGACAGTTGAACTAGGCTTCCATACACTTTAAGCAGATCTCCTTTGTTTCCATTGTCTTGTCTATATGTAGCTATGGATTATCAATATAACCCTCCCAATATGCATCTTTCTTGGCTCACAGGAAGAAAACATGGACTCCTTCAACCATGTCAGTCTAAAGGTGAAAAACAACTGGGGTCAACTGGACTACACATGCCTCTATAATTTTAGAGTGCATGGGGTAGTTGAAACATGAAGTGGTGACTGGTGTCACAGCCTTGGCCTCGCCAGTGGGTGGTGAGTGGTGTCGACGTCTGGGTAGTGGGTGATGGGTGGGGGCTGGTGTCGATTTTTGGGCTTCACCAGTGGTTGGTGTCAGAGCCTTGTCCTGACCAAAGGGTGGTGTCGACATCTGGGTAGTGGGTGGTGGGTGGGGGCTGGTGTCGATTTCTGGGCTTCACCAGTGGTTTGTGTCAGAGCCTTGGCCTGACCAGTGGGTGGTGTCGACATCTGGGTAGTGGGTGGTGGGTGGGGGCTGGTGTCGATTTCTGGGCTTCACCAGTGGTTGGTGTCAGAGCCTTGGCCTGACCAGGGGGTGGTGGGTGTTGTCGACATCTGGGTAGTGGGTGGTGGGTGGGGTCTGGTGTCAATTTCTGGGCTTCACCAGTGGCTGGTGTCAGAGGCTTGGCCTGACCAGTGGGTGGTGGGTGGTGAGTGGTGAGTGGTGGCTGGTGTCAATGTCTGAGCCCCCCTATTGGCTGGTGTCAGAGCCTTGGCCTGACCAGTGGGTGGTGGGCGGTGGGTGGTGTCGAGGTCTGGGTTGTGGGTGGTGGCTGGTGTCGATTTCTGGGCCTCGCCAGTGGCTGGTGTCAGAGCCTTGCCCTGACCAGTGGGTGGTGGGTGGCTGCTGGTGTCGATGCCTGGGCTTCACCAGTGGTTGGTGTCAGAGCCTTGGCCTGACCAGTGGGTGGTGGGTAGTGTCGATGTCTGGGCTTCGCTTTTGGCTGGTCTCAGAACCTTGGCCTCACCAGTGGGTGGTGGGTGGTGGCTGGTGTCGATTTTTGGGCTTCACCAGTGGCTTATCTCAGAGCTGTGGCCTGACCCGTGGGTGGTGGGTGGTGTCGACATCTGGGTAGTGGCTGGTGGGTGGGGGCTGGTGTCGATTTCTGGGCTTCACCAGTNTTTTTTTTTTATTTTTGCCCTCTTGAAACCAGCCAGCCTCGGCAGATGGCTGCTCATCCTGAGCCTGGTTCTGCTGGAGGTTTCTTCCTTTTAAAGGGAGTTATCCTCTCCACTGTTGCCTTGTGCTTGCTCAGGATGGGGGATCCCTTGGTTTAAACATCCATCGCGATCTGCTGGTGACCCCTCCGCAGAATCGCCACCTTAACGTGGTGGAGGGGTTTGAGTATCCCAATGACCCAGATGGAGATTTTGTCTTGGGGTTCAGCCAGTAGCGAGGCTTCCCAGGGCAGGTTGCCATTGGGGAGGGATCAGACTAAGAGCGATTCAAGATTTTCAGTGAAGGACTACCAAAGGTATCAGGCGGATAGGAAATGGACAGGATCGCATATTTCTTCCTGTAAGTTCTTTGAGATTTTTCTTATACTTCCTTACTTAGATATTTTGTCTGTATGGAGGCCGTGTGTGTGTTTGATCTTGGCAGTTTAGAAAACCTGCATGGTAAGTCTGACTAACTTGCAGTACAATCTTGATAAAACCTATCAAGATTGCAGGTTATTCATCAAGATCCTGATAGGTTTGCAGTGCAGATAAAACCTGCACTGCACTGAAGGTTTTATCTGCAGTTCTCAAGTTAGTGCACTGCTCTGCTATGCATTGCTATTGCAGGCCCCAGCTAGAAAATTTCTGTAGAAATTTAAACAGGGCGTGCCAATGTGTGCCCCTTGGTTGGAACTCTGATAAAAATAGCTAAAATAATTATTTTATGGAAAAGGCTAATATTAATGCACCTCTTCTCCCACCAAATAGGAATCCTGCAAACAACAAAAATAATTGCTGTCCCAGTTTATTTGATTTGGTGTGTAAAACCAGTCTTGTCTGCTCGTCTTATCAGTAATTGTCATGTTGCCTCCTTAACGCTAGTGGGCGCTGTTTCTGAATGCAAACTTTTCATTACAAACAAGATGGCAGCGCCCTGTTAGTCCCGTGCAGGACTGAAGACACGAATCCAACATTTAAAAAATAAAGATAAACTAAGCGTGACGGCATTGTTAAATGCAGGTATATTTAAAACAGTAAAATACTTATTTTATGTCTTTTATATCGTCAACGTGTGAACGTGGACAGCGAAAGGTAACGTCAGTTTATTTAAATCAGAAATGTGTCGATATAAACCTATTTATAACCGTCTCAGAATTGCAGCTTCTGGAGCCTGCAGTAACAAACCCCAACAAAGACAATAGAGCATTTTCATAACGATAAATTGTATATTTTGTTCCTACACAGGATTAGTAACGAAGTAACGTTTAATACAGAACTGTTTGAACAATCATTTCATATAAAATAACTGATGGTTTTCTCAATAATAGCTGTCAGCCTGCAGTTACAAAACCCAAGAAAGGAATATGAAGCAATTTTCTTTATAACGATAAACTGGATTTTATTTTGTTCTGTTCAGGCATGTGGCATTTAAGTTGAAGTTTCAGAGAAATATTTATGAAGAAATATAGACTTTTATATACATTTCATCCATCTGGTATGTATGTATGTATATATATATATATAT